ATTTTTACTCTGATCTTTTTTTATGGAATATTAATATATTATAAAATCACATTGTAAATCAACATTTTTTCATCTAAGAACAAAATCTAATCACTTTTAGACGCTTTTAGTGGATTTATTCCCGCTGGCATGAGGTATACATTTACAGTTTTTTTATATATGCTTGATATTTGCTTAATATTTCCTATAATCGGCTCTAAGATAGAATAGTCTGAAGTTTCTAACATCCTATTGTCTATTTTTTATCCATGGCAAGGGTCAAACTAACCTTAATAAATTAACCACCCACTGATCCGCATTCATACACACTAGCGTCTTAGTTTAAGCGTTTATGGTCACTTCCGTGATAAGCCATTTCGTCGTCTATTTAGTGCTGATCTGAAGTCTTTACTATACTGATTACAACTCTGGCGATCTCCTATAAGTATTTGGGACTTATAGCCCGTTAATTTCACTTAATCATGCAAAAAGACCTTGAAGCCTGCTGGCTTTGTCCATATCATATTTATTCTACGAGAAGGGGCGCTTAGATTTCTTTTTTATTCCTTCCCAGGTAAAGACTATCCGTGATGTGCTGGTACGTGCCGCCACTGATGGAGTTTTCTACAACTTCATCAACCCTCTTACAAAGTCTTGGTGCCAGCGACACGTTAGCCTTGCCGGCCTGGGAGACTCATTTTACGAGTATTTGCTCAAAGAATGGCTGCGCACAGGGCATCGTGACACGGAGGCTCGTCGCCTTTACGACTTGGCTTTAGATGGTTTTCTCCGAATGAATATGTTGAGACCCGTAGAGTCGGGTCATCTCTTCATCACCGATTTTATTAACGATCGTAATAGGGATAAAATGGATCATTTGGCTTGTTTTGCCGGTCAGTCTTTCGTAGTAGCTCTTTTTTTTATTTTTATTTTCTTTTCGTTGGTATAAAAATCAACATAGTGTTGCCTTTTGTTTGGTCGCAGACTCCTTTAGCTTTAAATGGTGGCTCCATCTTGTTTTCGCATATTGGTCAGAGCGTCAGGTAAACCTTGTGAAATGTACCTAGTCCAATTCCTATGTCATAGTATTCGTGATCTCCAGCATTGGACTATTGGCTGGATACATTCCCAAACGTTTCGCCGGCACCGTAGTCGAATTGTAAGCACAGAATTACAACCTATAAAAGCTGCTGGTGGAGGCAATCCCCTTGACCAATCTTCTGTTAAACCGTTGTGATATCACCCCATTTTTTCTACCTTCTAGTGCCGCATCTCCTTCTCTCAACCTCACTTCATATGGCCCATCCACTTATTCACACAATTATGTGCTCTCGTTTTCTCCAATATCTCCTAAGAGGGAAGCGTAATCATCTTCATCACCGGTGCTAGGTGCGGATTCAACGACTACATCAAAAAGAAGACGCTTGGACCCAGGACAACTGTTCAACAACAGGAAGGGACATCACCAATGAGCAGTTCATGAGTAGCAAAGGGAATTCAATAGAAGGCGACTGCAGTGAGAGGAGTCAGAGGTGAAATTGGCCAAAAGTTTACCTAGGAGCTTCATCTCTGAGATGTAGGATATGAAATTGAATGCTAAAGGTATAGGTGGGCCAGATATAGGTCACCAGTGTATGTGCGTAGGTTTCGTGTGTATTTTTCTTATGTGTGTCTGAACGGGAAGCGACTGGTGAGATGCCTGACTCCTGGGGATACCAACCAACACATACTCAGGAACATCATCTCCATATTCTTGGGTAAGTGGGAATGTCAATTTGACTCTCACACCAACGGTTATGGCTTAAGCCAGGCAGAGGGCCTCAAGGAATGAGACACAATGGGAGGGAAGATGAGGGATTCATGGGTTTGAAGCCTAAGCAGAGGAAGATCCCCAGGCACTGGTATGTACACCATCGGCTCTAAATCCTCGAATATGGCGTAATCGAGGACGCGAATGAAAGGCTCTTATGTAGCCAGATCTCGGACAGCCGAACAGTGATTTTAAGGCTTAGCAGAGGCCGATTGACACGCGGGTATGAAAAAAAGAGGTGGGTGACAGAATATAGGTCAGGAGCTCTGCAGAGTGCATCTGGTGCCGGTGGTGGAGATTATTACTCTTCCTTAAACCCACTTGTATCGACACACTCTTAGACGACATTGGAGCAAACGAGAGCGCAGAATTGTGTAAATAAGTTGATGGATCATTTGAAATGGGGTTGAGAGAAGAAGATGCCGCCCT